CAACACGAAAATCACTGTCGGGGTTTTCTTCGCTGTGGTCTCTCCGCCGCGTGCGACCTGATCCTGTTCTCCGTCTCCGTCGCAAATCCAAGACTGTACTTTGGCCGACGCGACTGCGCAGGAGGCTCTTGTCTTCCCTTCGATCGATAAGATCGGTCAGAACGACTGACATGCCTTCCGCGATGGGCAAGAAGCCGTGCAATCTCCGCTCTCCTTATCGTGGCGTTGGAGCCATGCCATCTTTTGCTGCGGCAGATCCGGTCACTCGCGGAGCGCCCCGGGCGTTGGCGCACCCCGCGCAGGCACGTGCACCATCGGCTTTCCGTGCCGGCGTGCGTACTGGGGCGCTCGCAGCTTGTTGGCCTCGTACTTCACGTCGTTGTTCGGAAACACACCCGGCGCGATGAGGAACTTCTCCGATTGCAGACGCGGGTCGTCGGGGCCATCCAATGCGAGCCGACGCCGCGCGCGCTCCCTTCTGCGCCCCTGGCACTCGTGCTGGCGGATCTCCTTCGGCGTCATTTGGCGTTGATCTCGTCGCCCCGCTGCCGCCGGCACTTCGCCCCTTCTGCCGCAGCGCAACTCCCGACGCGCTCGGTTCCCGCACCGGACGGCTCCGCGCAACCAGCTCCCCGGAACGGTGGTATCCCGGCCGCGCAGACACGCGCGCGCGCCCGCCGTCGACGCCCCTGTTCGGAATTCTTCTTGGGCAGGACACTGTGCAGTTTTGTTCGTTGTCGCAAAAACGCGCACCTCGCACCTTTCCTCCGTCCTACCCCCCGCCGCGGGCACCGCGAATCGCCGCGCGGTCCGCGGGGGGGGGGGCGGGCGGGGCGGTCGGGCAAGAGGTTGGAAGAGAGGGGGGCGCGCTCAGGTCCCCGTGTACTTCGCGTTCTGGGTCTTAGCCCCCTTCATGACTTCCCCCCCGCGGCGGGGGGGGAGGCGACATGCCGCCGCGCGCGACGGGCGGGGCACGGGCGCGCAACGGCCAATCGCGAGGCCCGCGCGCTCCGCGAGCGCGTCGGCTTGCCGCGGTAGCGGCGTTCTCCTTTCAGACGGCCTCGCCTCGGGGGCTGACGCCCCGCCAGACGACGGCTTGCTGGCGGATCTGGCACCGCGAAGCGACTCCCAGAGCATGGCGCTCGAGTGGCTAGCCACAGCGCTAGGGCTGGCAACTTTCTGTGAAAGGTTGGCAAGCCGTCGAGCTGTCATTCGGTCGTCCGACAACGTTGGGGCGGAGGCAGCGGCGCGCGGTGGCCGCGCCTCCGCTTGGAAACCACTCGCGAATTATTCATGCGTTGCGGCGCCTCATCGCGCGCCTCGGACGCGGGGCCTGGTTCGACCGAGCGCCGTCTGAAGAGGATGTCGCCGACCTCCCGCCGCGAGAGAAGTGCGAATGATTGCGTCTGCTAGGGGCGAACTTTGCGACGCCGCAGCTGAGCGCGGCGGAGTTCTTCGCTCCAAGCACACTCCTTGCCAGCATTCTCTCGGCGAGCGCGCGCCGGGAGGTGGCGGGGCGCAGCGCTGGCGCGGTCGCGCGCGGGCCACGGCGTGAAGCGCAGCAGAAAGGTTTTCATTGCGGTTCCCTCGCCCCAGTGCGAGGCGAGCCAAGCCTCGCGCGGGCTGGGGCAGAATTGTCGCGCCGCTGCGCATATCATAGCGCTGCCGACGCAGGTTCGAGGCAGAGTTCTCGGCCAGATGAAAACCATGTCGCTGTTTCATGAAGTGCAGAATGCCTTGCCAGCGCTTCCTCCTGCCACTACTTTCACGCTGGTGGAGCTGCTGGGGCGACGCAATCTACCCGCGCTGCAGGATCTGCAGTTCGCGCGAATCGGATGGTTTGCGCCCATTCCCGACGCGTACAGCGAGCGAGGCGTCAGTCCCGACGCCCCGCGGATCAGTTTGTTGGCACTCTTTTTCTTCTTCTTTTTTTTCAGCCGCGCGGAGAGCGGGTGGCGAGCGCCCTCCCGCGCCCGACGCGCCCGAACGCGCGCCCGACGCGCCCGAACGCCCGCGGTCGCCGCGTCCGACGGAGAGCGGCCGAATGTGCTGACTGAGCCGCTGAGTGCGGCGCCGTGCGGGATCTTGAGTTGGCCATCGGCATAGCGAGCCAGCGCGCGATAGTGCCGAGCGCGGGCCCTCGCCGCGAGTGGAGGCCCTGCGGCAGGGGATCGCGCGGCGCGGAATAAGCGATTGGCCAAACTCTACCAGACTCGCCGCCATTTTGGGTAGCTGCCCTAAGACGTGGCTCAGCGCGATGAGCGGCTTCCGCTGTTGGGCAACATTTGCGATGACAATGCTCGGCTGCGACGCGGAATCCATCGCCCCGCCCGCGCCAGACGGCTTGGCGCTGCGGGGCGCGCGCTTTGACTGCAAAGGCGCGTTCGACAATTATCTCTCGCGCGCAAGCTTAGCGCGCATCGTGTTACAAATATCGGCCGACGCAGAAGCAGGCCCTGCAGTCGCGCGATATATCGAGCAGCGCAGGCGCGCAATATTTGGCAAGCTCGCCCAATTATGTTCATTCGCGAGGCGCTTCTCGCGAAATTGCTGAAGCATCTCGCCCGCCAGCCTTCAGGGCGCGCGCTGCGAATGCTTCCCCTGGCGGCGTATATATGATCGTTGCACCTGCACTCAGAAGCTCTTCCGATTCACGTCGCTCGCGCAAGCGATCCACCGAAAGCGGA